GTCCTATAGGTATGTGTTGACAGTGAAGTCTTCCCTGAACCCCACTGTCAAACGTGCTCCATTCAATTACATATGCATACTTGTAGGGGCTCCCCTAGTCACATTCCCTGCTTTGTATTTCTCCAAAAAGATACAACACTATATGACTTAATGTATATGTACAATATATATGACTATGTGTGCATGGGTGTGTGAGGTCATGCATCATCTAACAGTGAGGGTATATTTTGAGAAATGCATTTTCAGTCAATTTTATCAGGAGGCATGCATAACACAGTGTACTTACAGAAGCTTAGATGGTATAGGTCAGTCACTCAACATGACCTCTTGATACACTCAAGAATACAATAAACACAAGATGTATGAGGTTGCTGCCAGAGTAATCCAGCATATTGTTTCCCTGTAAATATTTTTCTAAGTTGAAGTTGCATACTCTAAAATAATGATTAAAAATATATTATGGTAAATACAATAAACCTGTAACATTGTCATGTATTATTAGCAAGTGCTAGGTGATGTGTATTATTGTATGTGTTGCACTTTTACACAACTGGCAGTGAAGTAGCCTTATTTACACCAGCACCATCACAAACATTTGAATAATGTATGTGCATGATGTTATGATGTCTACTACATCACTAGATAATAGGAACTTCTCAGCTCCATTAAGATCTTATGGGACCACTGTCATGTATTTGGCCCATCACTGCACGAAACATCATTATGTGGTACATGGCTGTATACAAATGTTTACATGTATCTTATATTTCTTATATTTTACTTATTTTCTGCTTGCATCAAATAAGAAGTAAGCCACTTAATGGCAGAAATTGCTAACAAAATACAATTGCTTTATTCAATGTTGTCTTCTCCCTGCTTACAATATTCCCTGGCAATTGATAGGCATACAAATACTAGTTGACTATTTGACTAAAAACATACAAAACTTACACTATGGCAGTTAGGCATCAAGAGCTGGGAAACAGCACTGAAACACATCATGTCTCCACTTAACTTTCAAATATGAAACTTTCTAAATAGAAAAGGATGTAGAAACACTCAGGTATGCAACTATTTGAGGTAAGCAGAATAGCTGAAATGACTCACTTTTTGCTAGCATTATCAGAACTGAAAAAGATCCATTCTAATTAGAATTCAGCGACTACATAAATTCCACTAAAGAACAGTAGCGTGTAAACAAACCTCACCTGAAGAGATTTCCTTCAGCTTTACCTACCTCTACCTTTAGATTTGTTTTTTTTTCCCCTCATTCTTTTCTTTTCTCTTGGGATCTATAGTTCCACCAGACTCTGCTTTTCTTCTTCAGTACTCTATTCTATCCATTATGTCCTCCCAGCATTAATTATACCCTTTATCACTCCTCTTCTCTACTAGGATTTTCACCTCAGACACTTCCATTGTGTTGATTTCTTAAAATCTTCAACCTTTAGTCTTTTACTTCCCTTGTCTTTTGACCAACAGTTTATCAATAAAAGTAGCTGTTTTCACTACCTCCAAATCCTGACCACCACTGCTCAAAAAATCATTTCTTAAGCAACATTCATGTTAAAACTCTCCTGGAACTTTTTCATGCCCAGATTACATAACCTGGAATTCTGATTTGATGGGTTTCTTCTGTTGGGGTAGGGGGACTAAATATGTTGCTTTACCTAGTTCCCTAAGATAGTCTATCACATACACCGGATTAGGAACCATTACCTCAATTACTTGTTTTATTTTTTTTTTCTGGTCATAATGTTGATAACAATCTGCCATCTGAGAAGCATAATTAAATCAACCCTCTGCATTTGACACACACAAAAACCAAAAAGAAAACCTCCTGTTCATCAAATCCAAGTGCCTTCTCTCCACACTTCACAGGATATGACACTCCTAGCTTTAAGTACACTCTGTCCTTAAATTAAGAATTAGAGGAAAAAACAGAAATTTGAGGAGGAAGTCTAAGGTGAGGAAAGTTCTAAGAACAAAGATATGGATTACAATGGATTGGTTTGGAATAATTTTTTGATAAGCGGGTTTGTAGATCACAGGAGATGTAGAACTTAAAACTTGCATAGACTCTATTCATTCTATATGGTATGAGTCTGATATTTTAGACAATCCTGGTGTATATGAGTCTAAAATTTTATTTGTAAAAGTTGAGTACTAACTTGAACTGTTTGCGGCGGACAGTGGTTAATGCTACTTAAAAATGTGACATGGACAAAAAGCACCTTTCCATTTAAGTAGACAGGGGAAAAATTATGTGAGGGAAGAAAAACAGATTACTAATAACCATGATAGGTTCACTGCAGTTACAGAAACCTGGACTAAATAGTTGTCAATTCTGAATCATTTTTAGACTAAGGAATCAATTCCATTCTTTTACAAAATGAGTGATTATTTGCCCATAAGATTCTTTTCAATGGGTAAATCCATTCAGGAGATGAAAACTGAGGGTAAGGATGAGGAGACTGAGTGAATCTGGTGAGGAGCAGTTGGAAGTTAATTCCTCTTCTAAGCCAGAGGTCACTGGAAGACCAGTCATAGGGGTGAACTTAAAAGAGATGTCAAAGATAAAATGGCAGAAATGGTCAGACTAAGCCTATCAGGAAACACTACAATACTAAGAAAGCCATGAGCTAACGGCTCAAACTACCTTCAGATTTAGGAATATAATACAAATAATTAACTTATAGCTCTGTTTAGTTATATGGGCATTCAGAGGATAGCATCTGGTAAAGTGGATTTATTTGTAGTAGTTCCTAAATTCCAGCAGTAATCTATGTATGTCCTCCTACAAATGGTTAATTTTCTGTTGTATGTTGATTTTTTTACTACATTTAGTATCAGAAGTTATACTTGTTAAAACTTGGCCTTTTTCTGATCCTTATCTTCCCTTTATCTGCAAAGTTTTTGCATCTCTCATATAAGGATAAACCATGACAAGTACATAGGAATGTAGTTCTGTACTTACTCCTCCATATCCAAATAATGTTGCTCAAAAAATAAATACATCTTCAGCATTCTGAATTTATTATCCCATGAACTTTATGCAAAATGAAGTATAATCTTTCTAAGAGCATTTAACATCTAACTCTAATCACATGCAAGGAAGCTTTGGGTATTGGGGTAACACAAATGACTGAGAGGATCTAGTGGCAAGAAAGAGACAAAGCCAATGGAATCATTGTAACAGAAAAGGGGATAATTAATTTGGAGTGGTCAAATTTTTCCAAGACTTCAACTAGGCTGAATCGTGATTGATGGACAGGAGTTTATCAGGCAGTGGAAGAGGGGAATTCATCCCTGAAACCCCCCTCCCACATTTGGTAATGTTATCACCAAAAGCCTTAAAATAACAGGAAGGGAAAAAAAAAAAGAGTAAAATAACAATAAAACAAGAAGAAATTCTATTCACTTCATACCTGAAGTGGAACAATCATGTTTAACTCTACTTCAGATCTGAAAGTAAATGTTTATAAAGCAGGATTCACAATCAAGGGAAAGGGGTGGAGGAGGAGGAAGTTCAATTTGTTTTGTTGTTTTAAGTTAAAATAAATGAGTAAAAATATTAACGTCTATGCTTAGTAACACATATATCACATTTTACAAAAGACTTTACATTGAAAATGAAAGCTTATGGACACTTATCTAACAGCATAATTATTTACTCTAGTATTTTGTACCCCTAATGTCATTTTCAAAGGTTCTAAAGTGAGTCTGCCCAAGACCTTGGCTGCATCCCCCCAGTAATACACTCTTTTTTTTTTTTTTTTTTTTTTTTGGTTTTTCTCCGGTACCAGGAATCAAACTCACGACCTTGCGCTTGCCAGGCAGGCGCTTTTGCCGCTGAGCTAAATCCCCAGCCCCCCCAGTAATACACTCTTAATGGAAACAGTCCCCCAACCAACTTTCCACGTACCCTGAGTTGTGCACCTTCACATCCTTGAAAGTCTGGCTTTACATGACTATCAGAAGGGAATAATTGAGCTCTAAGTTGTGTCACTTCACCTCCTCAGTCTTTTATCCAATTATTTCTCTTCAAATTCTATTAGTTTTGCTTTTGTAAGGAACTAGTCGAAACTGTATGGGTACAATCACAAAACCAGTAGTTGCAGCCAGAGCACTGACACACACCCCCATGGCCAACACACACACACACACACACACACACACACACACACAAATATCCCTCTCTGGGCCGTTTCACCCCTCATCAAAAGCAGCAGACCAGGAAGGAGGAAAAAGCTGAAGGAGGAAGGTTGCTCCCTTCCTTTCACTCCCCCACACTCCCCCCAGCCCCGCGCGCCAGATCGCAGAGCCGCCCGGAGACTTCGCAGGCACCCCCCACACCCACACCCACAGCCACACATCGGCCCCGCTGCCACCCGCCACAGCCTGCAAAACAGTCACAGCCTTTGTTAAAACGTCCACGAGCACAATGGACCAGAAGAGGGACACATTCTCGGGGGCGGGGTAAAGGAAAGTCACACAAAGGCCACACCCTCCTTGGCACTAGCCCGGGCCAACAGCCCACCTCCACTAAATCCTCTCCCCAGGGTCGAGGAACGTTCCCGGCAACTCTGCAGTCGGAAGGCAGCGCAGGGGAAAGGAATGAGCCCGGGACACTGCTCAGGGGCAGGAAGCAAGGGGACTGAACTTGAAGCTGGGACACCTTCCAGCTGCCTTGGCTAGCGTCCCAGTCCTGCCAAGCCCGTATGCAGACTTCCAGCTTCTGGAACTCCTTCCTTCTCTTTCTCATACACACCCTCGCCTACTCCCGCCACCGCCACCACGCACTCTTCCCCGCACGCTGCCCGGGGGAAATCCTCAGACAGCGCCCCCACCAAGGCTACAGCACGCCTAGTCAGTTTCTCCTCACCAGATGGAAGGCACCCACACGCGCTCCGGTTCTTCCCGGGGCTCTCAGCTCGGACCACGTTCCCCCAGTAGTTGCCCTAGTAGTTCCCCCAGCGCTGCGTGTCTGCCGCACTTACCACGGGTCCCACTCCGCTACTCCGCGCCCTGGGTGCTGCTCACGGCGCCTGCGCGCTCCCGGGACTGCCGAGTTTAGCGGGAGCCAGGAGCCTGGAGCCGCCTGGAAGGGAGGTAGGAAGCCAGAGGTTGGACTAGGGCGGGGTTAGGAAAGAAGGGGCAGGGCTAGGAAGGGTGGTAAAGGAGGGGCGGGGCCAGGCTGTACGCGAAAGAGAAGAGCCGAGTCTTTGCCGCCTCCACTGCCCCTGCAGGGAAAACCAAGTGCCTGTGCATCTGGCTGGGACTCTCCCCTCTTCATGCCTGTTTAGAACACTGACGGGAAAGTCCACGAAGCCCCTCTGTACGCCACCACGCTCACCCTCCAGCAAACCTAGTTTTGCAAGGAGCCAATCAGTCAGCCCTTGGGCCACCACACCTCTCCCTGAAGCCACAGAGTCCCCACCAGCCTTTCCCTCCTTCACCTCACATTATGCCTATCTCAATGCACGTTTTTTTTTTCCTTTGTCATTTCTCATCGCGAGTACTGCTCATCCCTTGTGAGGTGTGTGTGTAGCGGGGGATTTCTCATCCACGGTGCTGATGCCGGTCAGTATTCAGCCCCGACCCTGAAGGTGACTAGCCAAACACTGTCCGAGGACAGACTCTTGACGCTGTTTGTGGATAACTTTGGGGCACAACAAGCTGTTCTCTCTTGAAAAGAGTGTTGAGGGTACCTACTCGAATACCTTGGAAAGGAGAACACAGGATGTCAAATAAGGTCATCTTTGACTGTTTTTTAAGTAGTTATGTTAGAATTTGACCCTTAGAGTTCTAAAAGGCCCTCTTAGGATATAAGGCATTCCTGTGTATATGGACTTTATCCTAATGGCTGAAGGTTTTCTGGCATTTAGTATTTTAGGGAGTCTAACATTATTCCATGCTGTATGGGTGTTTGGTTTAAAGTCCTATACATTTGTTTACACTCTGGTCAGCTGTGGCATGACATCTCACGTGCCTTCTGGTCAGCTATTAAAACAAACACACACTTCACTGAATCCAAAGTGAATTGATGTGGGCTTGCAGTGATTTATTCCAAACTGATTTCTTCTTATTTTTACTTTAGACATGATGGAATTTTAAAATATTTGGCTTAATAAAAGAATTGACAGAGGACCACACAAATAGGTTTTCCTAGCAAGTATTTTGATTGTGACTGGTGCATTTTATACCATTGAAGATCTGAATGTCTTGAAACTTTTCACATTAATCTTTGCGATTCTTCCATTTGTGTATTTTACAAAGCAGACTTTCATAAATGCATTTCTACTTTGCATTTATCAAATAAGCTTAAGGAGATTGTTAGGAGGATTCACTGCAGAAAGGTATGTTGGCAAATGTAGACACAGGTTATTCATGATGAGTAAATCTGTAAATACGGGGAAGTAGGATCTGCATTTCATTTGTAAAATTTCCGCATACAGAAGCTACTTCAAAAAAGCATTAGTTTAGTAAAGGTAACTTTTGTACCTTTAATAGATGTGTATGTGTAGGTTTTTATACTTTTAATTTGATTACTGGATTTATTTTCTACTTGTGTGCCTGAATTTTTCAGGTTATTTTGGTTGTAGCAACAAATGCTAAATTGAAGTAGCTTAGGAAAAAGAGAACGTTATTGTGTAATCCAAATTGTGAAAGGGTAAGTCTATTATTGGCCCTGGGAATAAGTGGAACCAACAACTAGAATGTTTCAAATTCCAACTCAGGCTATATCTTATCTCTCTCAGACAGGGTCATTCTTTCAGAAGCTCCCAAAGTCACATTCTGCAGGCTTAGAACCATAGCCTCTGACAAGTTGTGGCATCATGCCTACCTAGGTGCTACCAAGCCAAAAGTTGTCCCTCTTCCCTTATGTCCAGTTTTTAAAATACCAGATAGAATCGAATTGGTTGGGATTGAGTACCATAACACCTCCTGGCAATAAAAAGTGTGTGAGACAAGGCAGAAGACTAGGACTTGCAGTAGAAATAACATGGTCAGAGAAAAAGTAGAAAGAAAAATACTATATGAAAACAAAGCGCAGGGGGAAAGGCTGGTTTTGGAAGAAGAGAAAAGTACTGGATATATCAAAATGAACAAACAAAACCTCAAAATATTTGCTATAAAACATCCTTGTTTAAGGAATATAACCTTAAGATTTTTTTTGACCTCTGCATTTTCCCCCTTGTATTTGAGAATCTATGAATCTTCCTAAAAAAATCTCATTATTAGCTTTCTATGGCTACTGCATAGTGATTGCCACAAACTGCCAGGTGTGGTGGTGCATTCCTGTAATCCCAAAACTCCGGAGAATGAGGCAGGAGGATTACAATTTTGAGACCAGCCTGGGCTACATAGCGAGATTGTGTCTCAAAAAAGAAACCACCACAAATTCAGTGACTTAAAGCAGCATAAATTTATTATCTCATATTTTTGGAGATCACAAGTGTAAAATAGTCACATTGGGCCAAAAGTGACATGTCAGCAAAGTGAAGCTTCTTTCTGGAGGCTCTTTGGGAAGCTCTCTATTTTAACCTTTTCCAGATCTAGAGACTGCACAGTTCTTTTCATTTCAAGGATCATGATCCCTTCCCATTTCCGAGACTAATCATAATATTACTCTGATACTGACACTTCTACCTGGTTTATCCACTTGTACGGACACTTGTGATTATATTTGGACCATCAGACAATCCAAAATAATTTTGCTATCTGAATATCAGCTAATTGTCAATCTTAATTATATCTATAACTTTAATGTAGTGTATGACATATTTTAACAGGTTCTGATATTAACATATAGGCATCTATCTGTAGGTGCATTATTATCCCCACTATAATATTTTCATATAAATAACAAAGTCTATATCACTGGTTATAAAATGGGACTTTTTTAAAGAATTACTGATTTCAGGATCACACTTCTAAATATTATGGGTTAGGCGATCTACAGAGTTCACACACACACACACACACAGCCACACACGCACACAGCTAATTAGATCACAATGGAGCATCACATTAATGCTAACCAATCATAGAAGTTCCCTGGATATTTAGAATAGGAGGGCAATCGGTAACACCGAGTACTTACATATCCATTTTGGAGCTGTAGTGTCAGAATAATTAGAGAAAACAACAGTGGAGGGTTGGGAAAGACAGGAAGGAAAAACAGGTAGGTGGTAGAGCTGAGCCTGGATCCTCAATGCTTATCTGCCTCATGGTTAAAATGGCATTTTTATTCTTGGAGTCTATGAGAAATTACTGAGTTCACATAAAAAGTGTTTTATTTGTTCAAAGCTAGCTTGAGTTGATTTCTCTTGTATAAACCAAAAAATGTTCTAATTTAAATATGATATGAGTAAATTTCCCCTAATTACTTTTTTCTGATATGCCTCTTATTTAATAAATAAGGTGACCTTGAAAACCTAACTGTTAGAGTTGGTATTCCACATCTTTGGTCTACTTAACAAGGACCTCAACTTCCAGTTATCACACATTGTTCTACTCCTGCTTCCTCTTAATAGCTATTCAAAGGCCTGGAAGAAGAATTCTCCCATAGTCCATTCTCCCTTCGACATGCGAAGCATGTGTACATCCAGCTCTTTGCCTGACTGAAGTCAAGTCACTATTAATGAATTCCAAATGCATTCTCTTGTTGTAAATCCTTTCTAGATTTTTTGGATAAATAGTTAGAACTGCCAAATGGATCATTCGTACTCAGGTGTAAAAAAAAAACTCAAATTTTCTCCTAAAACCTGCCTTTTTTCTTGCATTTTCTTCCTTGTTAATGAAAGCACCATGCACCCCACTACCCACATTCAGTGTGATAAATCACTCGTGACTCACTCATTTTTCTTCAATCCTCAGTTGTCTATTCACTCTACCTCCTATATGTTTTACATATTAATTCCTCTTTTCTCCCTCATTCCTGATTAAGGATGCTTAATCACCTGAGAGACAATAAGATCTTCCAATTAGTTTAGTTTCTCTGCCTTCAAATCTCCTAATTCCAATCTAACCTTTCCAAATTTGCCAGTTGCCTTTATAAATGCAAATGCAATCGAGCCATTGTACTGCTTAAAAATGTTTCAGGACTCCTGCTCATTGTGCACTTTAACAAAAAATACAAACGCCTAAAACATAATCAGATTGTCTTGTTCTATCATACCTGTGCAAATTCATCCCCCTACCCATCATATACATGTATCCTAAGCTCTTATCTCTGTCTGCCTTATATTTTGTTTTATTTTTGGTAACATACACTTTATTTATAAAAAAAATGTAAATACTATTTGGAGTTAAGAAACACTTCCAATTTATATACATGTTCTTATGAATCAAAGTAGCAAAATTAAATTTAAAGAACCACAGGTCAATAACAAAAAAGGCAATGAAATATTTCAGGGACATCTTGGAAATTTTCATAGAAGCAAGTAATTAGCTAGAGTCTACAGTTAAACCTGAGTTGCACAACTGGTTACATTCATTCCCGCATTTTCCCTGTAAGATTTTCCTTATATTTGCTTTCTCCCCAACTAGTCCAGACCTGAGTCTGTGTTCTAGAATTTTTTTCTTATCTTTGCTCATTTTAACTTGATGAGAGGCCCCTTGCTCAGGTGACTTCCTATGTGGACAGTCATGCTTTTAGCCTTCTCATGTTGTGCCCATTCCATGTAGATAACATATTTCCTTTTGTACACCTGGATACTCCTCGTAATACCACCACATTGGGGAGCAGCTTCTAACACATGAAATTTTGGGGGCAAAATCACAACCAAACCATAGCACAAGGATAGAGAAACGGGTAGATAAGCAGATAAATGTGGTACAGTGTGATAAGGGTGAAAATAAATGCTATTTGTAGAATCTAGATGGCGAGTATTCACTGTGCAATTCTCTGCACTGTTCTGTACATTAGAAAATTTTTTTGGTAATTTTTTGGAGAAATTCTCAGGAAAATATGGTATACTTAGGAAATGTTAAATGTACTTTTGCTATCCATTTTTACTGTTTCTTATCAGAATACAGGGCATTTATTTTGATTCCAAAATGTGGAGGTTATTATATAAGAACTATGAATGTCATTTAGGTAATGATTAAGTTTC